CGGCAGCGCTTCGCCGCGTTATACTACCGTGACGTGAAAACGGCAGCGTCACTCTTCAAAACAAAGTGCYGCCAACGTGCCGTCAAAACRGCAGCGTCACCCCTCAAAATAAAGGTGTCATGCCGACGCCGTGGTATTTCGACAGCATAACCCCACAAAAATGGGTTATGGTTGCCGAAAATATCGGCCGGCACACCTCCACCAGTTGTCGTGCTCCCCGCTGCTCCTAGCCATGCTCCGCTGCCGCTCCTCACCATGCTGTCGCAGAGTCCCACCATAGACCAGCCTGCCAAGGGGTGGAGCAGAGTGCTCCAGCCAAGGCTATGGTCGTCTCCTCCTTCGTCGCTCCGCTCCTCTGCAGTCCTCCAGCTCCGCCGGCAGCACTCCTGCCTCCTCTCCAGCACTCCAGCAATGAGGCAAGTGTGCTGTCGCACACTGGTAGCCGGAGGCAAGTGTGAGGCAGCTGGGGGACAGCTGCCTCTTTTGTAGTGGCTGAGGAGAGCAGCAGCAGCCTCAGCTGCCCCCAGGCAAAATTCGTTACTTGCCTGGGGCCATTGATCTGAGCCAGATCAACGGACTGAGGCTGTCTCACCTCAGCCACACACTTAGGGTGGCAGTTGTACTCAACTGCCCCCCTCTTTTTCTCCCTTTTCCCTGCACTCAGCCCCACACTAAGTGCAGGTTCAGCGGGAAAATGGCTGTTTCCAGCCAAGTTCCCCTCATTACCCCTTCATCTCCCCAGCCTCTGGCCTAAGTCACATTCAGGCCAGTTTGGCCTGTATCTGATCATCTCCGCGGCCACATTCGTGGCCGTGGCTTTTCCCTTTTCCCTTTTATCTTCTTTTCTCTTTTCTCCCCTGCCCTCCCCTGAAAACGGGGATGACAGTTGTCAGATTGGGAGAGGTAGGGAAAGAACTCGTGAAAATTCACGAGTTCAAATCCCGACAGGCTCAGAGCGGGGTGCAAAAAGTACCCCAACTTTGAAGAATTTTAGAAAAATATTCGCTGGATAAAAAAATCTAAAAAAAATCACGCACATGGCCTACGTGCCTGACTACCTACAGAAAAAAAAATCAAGGTCAAAAAAATTNCTTTTCCCTTTTATCTTCTTTTCTCTTTTCTCCCCTGCCCTCCCCTGAAAACGGGGATGGCAGTTGTCAGATTGGGAGAGGTAGGGAAAGAACTCATGAAAATTCACGAGGTCAAATCCCGACAGGCTCTGAGCGGGGTGCAAAAAGTACCCCGACTTTGAAGAATTTAAAAAAAATATTCGCTGGATAAAAACATCTAAAACAAATCACGCACATGGCCTACGTGCCTGACTACCTATAGAAAACCATTCAAGGTCCAAAAAATTGTTTTGCGCCACCAAAACAATAGTGGCGCAAACTTAAAAATACAGCTTCTCAGAAAAACTCAGATCCGATTTTTCATTTTCTTTTTCTTTTCTTTTTCTTCTTTTCTTTTCTTTTCTTCTTACCCCCTCTAACAACGGGGAGGCAGCTGGCAGGTAGGGAGGAGCAGGTCCTCCTCTCCCCATCCACCCATTTCTCTCTCTCTCTCACTCTCCACTCAACTCCAACCGCCTCTTGCTCTCCGTGTGTGAACTATGGGCCGCAAGATTTCAAGATCTTGCAGCCACAATCATCTGTCCAAAACGAATTGGGAGTCTTTGTGCTCCCACACAGTCTCCAAGACGAAGTGGGAGCCTTTGTGCTCCCACACAGTCTGCAAAGACTGTTTTCCTTTTTTTTGTTTTTTTTATTTTTATTTTTTTTATTATTACTCTGGTTTTGCCAACGGTCACGTCCCATCGTGGCTCGCTATGGCACATCGAGGTACAGACCCGGGTTCAAATCCCTACTTGGATTTTGGACCATTTCTCGATTTATGCGTGTCATCCTTGCGCAAGGGTCAAGCTGCAGCCAGGCGGCCATTCCCGCTTGGTGGCTGCAGGCTGGGTGGCTGGCTGATTGCTGGCCGACTGGCTGCAGGCTGGTTGCTGGCCGGCTGGCTGCGCGCTGGGTGGTTGCAGGCTGGGTGGCTGGTTGGCCAGCCCTACACTTGCCGCACCCTGCGGCTACCGTGCCATCCATTTCAGCCCTTGGTGCGGACGCCCGCGGGCCTAAAAAATAAAAATAAAAAATAACTTCCTACTCACCTCTCGTCGCGGCCTCCGGTAAGGTCGCCACTTTGAACGCACTTAGGCCCTGAATCATGCGGCCTACCTCCACGCGCCACCTTCTTAGGTAGGGTAGGTATAATCCTAATAGTCCCTCGGCCAAACTATTCCATAGCTCCGTCAGATGCCGTGATTAGTGATCACACCACTGATTACCACTATTTCAGTCGGACGGCAGCGACGTCTAGCTTTAAAAAAAAAAGTTTAAGCCTACCGGTCATAGGTCTGTCTAAACAACTTTGGCAACGTCAGTCTCGTCAAGTCCTCCAATTCCTCAAAAAAGTCGGACAGCGTCCGACGTTGAAAACCCCGGCAAATACCCTTGTCAGGGCATTTGCCCCGACAACGAGCCTATCTTATGTCCTTTAGGTCAACAAACACAGATCTGAGTTTTTCGGCTCCCCTCGTAAAATAAGAACTGAAATCTGAGAAATCTGAGTTTTTCGCAAGTCGGAGTTTTTGCAAAATCTGAGTTTCTACTACAAGTCTGAATTCCCCATGTCCAACACGAGATGGACGAGACCGGAACTTAGAAAGTGCCATACCCAACGACCTAAAACCTCCTTCATCCTCCACCTCCTTCACCCATCCACCATAGCCAACCACCTCACACCATCTTCCTCCTCCACCTCCACCACCCATCCACCGTAGCCAACCACCTCACACCTTCTTCCTCCTCCACCTCCATCACCTATCCACCATAGCCAACCACATCACACCTTCTTTATCCTCCACCTCCACCCATCCACCATAGCCAACCACCTCACCCCTTCTTCCTCTTCCACCTCCATGACTCATCCACCATAGCCAACCACCTCACACCTTCCTCCTCCACCTCCATCACCCATCCACCAGAGCCAAGTGCCTCACACCTTCTTCCTCCTCCACCTCCATCACCCATCCACCATAGCCAACCTCCTCACACCTTCATCCTCCACCTCCTTCACTCATCCACCATAGCCAACCCCCTCACACCGTTTTCCTCCTCCACCTCCATGACTCATCCACCATAGCCAACCACCTCACACCTTCTTCCTCCTCCACCTCCATCACCCATCCATCAGAGCCAAGTGCCTCACACCTTCTTCCTCCTCCACCTCCATCACCCATCCACCATAGCCAACCTCCTCACACCTTCTTCATCCTCCACCTCCTTCACTCATCCACCATAGCCAACCCCCTCACACCGTTTTACTCCTCCACCTCCATCACCTAGCCAACCACCTCGCACCTTCTTCCTCCTCCACCTCCTTCACCCATCCACCATAGCCAACCATCTCACACCTTCTTCATCCTCCACCTCCTTCACCCATCCACCATAGCCAACCACCTCGCACCTTCTTCATCCTCTACCTCCATCACCCATCCACCATAGCCAACTGCCTCACACCTTCGTCCTCCTCCACCTCCTTCACCCATCCACCATAGCCAACCACCTCACACCTTCTTCATCCTCTCCCTCTCCATCATCCATCCTCCATAGCCAACCGCCTCACACTATCGTCATCCTCCACCGCGTTCACCCATCCACCATAGCCAACCACCTGACACCTTCTTTATCCTCCACCTCATTTACCCATCCACCATAGCCAACCACCGCAAACCTTCTTCCTGCCCCACCTCCTTCACCCATCCACCATAGCCAACCACCTAACACTTTCTTCCTCTGCCATCTCCATCACCAATCCACCATAGCCAACCACCTCACACCTTCTTCCTCCTCCACCTCCTTCACCCGTACACCATAGCCAATCACCTCACATCTTCCTCCTCGACCCCCATCATCCACCCGCCATAACCGCCCACCTCACACATTCTTCCTCCTCCACCTCCTCCACTCTTCCTCCATAGCCAACCACCTCCCACTATCACCGCCATGCCACATTCCACCTTCAGAGTCTTCCTCCAAACTATAACCCCACTAAGAGCCTTCCAGTTGCAGCGCCAACCAAGAAGATAAAGATGCAGTCCACCATAGCCAAGGTAAGCTCCCTCCTTTACTCTCCTCCTCCTCTCTTTTTCCTCGTCAGTTGTCTCCCTTAGCCCTGTCGTCCTCCACCTCCGCCTGCTCCCTTCACCATAGCTGAGGCGGGGACCATGCTCTGCCTTTTTCCTCCTACCAGCGCCACACCAGGCTGGTCAGCACTAAACAGCCTCACGGCTTGGTCATGGGAATAATTAGGCTGAGGTCGCTGAGCTCTACGCTGCCTCCTTTGATGTGTCGTGCTGCTGCCTCTTCACCCAGTGACTTCCAGTCTGCGGCGGCTTCCAAGGCCTACCACTTCCCTCCAATTTTGACGGGAATGTCATTGCAGTCTGATATCGCCCCTTTGCAGGCTCTAGACCTAGGCCTACTGGACCATTACCTACCCATAAGCCTACGGGACTGCTAACTCGGCCTACGGAGAGCTACTACTTTTTGTCCTTTTCTGCCACCTCCTTTCCTCGACTCCACCTGCTGCACCTCTGAATACACACGGCCAAAGGTTAGTAACAGGCTCGCGGGCCACTCCAGCCCAGACCTTCATCAGCCGGTCACACACATGCGCACCAGTCCTCAGACAGGCGGGTAAGCACACGGACACATATAACAGCAAGCAGTCTGACTGGACACACGATCAGACATCGGGAACCCAGCAAACACTCAGAAAAGCACAGGTTTCACGGTCTGCAATTCTGCAGATCAGTACTAAGAGATTCAAAATACTGTTCACTTTTTCACTGTTTCAGCCAAAATCTTAACATGCTCGTGTTTCGGCCTTTCGAGGTTGATTCTGCAAGATAAGTCTGGTAACCTAACTGATGAAACACTGCTCACCTTACTTGCATTTGCTCCTCCCGCCTCAGCAGTCTCTGCCTTGTCAGATGTGTTCTGACTGGCCAGTTTGTCCTCCAACTTGTCCTCTAGTGACCCTTCAAGGGCCTGCAAAGAGAACCAATCCCATTGCCCAACCCAAGTTAGTTCAGACACTGCACCACACCAGAAAGTTTGCCTGTGTTAACCATTTCCACAAATACTCCAAGCAAGTGGAAAGTCCAAACACAACTATGTTGCAAGGAACCAACGTCAAAATCACCACAGGATCGGTCTCAGGGTCGCAGCGTACGGCCAAGCCGAAGTTCAGGGCCAAAAAAAAGTCGGTCCTATAACCTTCAGACAGGTTCTGAGAAGTCTATAGGTCGGTAGACCCGGGATCAGAGGTCAAATCCAAGCACACAGGGATGCCAGAGGTTACGTCAGAGCCCTAGGAAAGTCAGCAATCTGCCCCTACCAGTTGCACCCGTCCAAGGGTCAAAGAAGTCTCCACAAGTCAAGCACGGCCTGGGATAACACATATCCAAAAACTCCAATCTTTTTCTGGAAGCATTCAAGGCCAGCTGGGTCAAGCACACATGGGCCCCAACAAAATCTGGGCCAGACAAGATCAGAGAATCTCGGCCATTCATCGAGGCAACTTGAGGCGGGCGCAGCCGCCAACACTTCAAAAGACCGGCCTGCCTTCTCTTGGTCGTTCATTATGCCTTGCGCTGCTGAAGGCTGGAGTGCCTTGGAAGAAGCAGACAGGGGAGGGACAGAGAGTGTACGAGCGCGCACGAGAGCGAGCGAGCGAGCGAGCGAGCGAGAGAGAGAGAGAGAGAGAGAGAGAGAGAGAGAGAGAGAGAGAGAGAGAGAGAGAGAGAGAGAGAGA